ACAACGAGGACACCTCGGAGTCACTCACTGGAGAACCTCGCAGATCTAATTCCTATGTCATTTGCTCTCCTTATATATCTATCTTACTAATCTTACTTCTTACTAATATCATAAATCTTACTAATATTATTAATGCGAAAGTTTAGATGGATGGATGGATGGATGGTTGGATGGGTGGATGGATGGTTGGATGGATGGATGGATGGATGGATGGATGGATGGATGGATGGATGGATGGATGGATGGATGTTTGTTAGAGTTTGTAGCCTAAACTGCTGAACGGATTTCGATGAAATTTGGCATAGACGTAGAGGATAGTCTGGAAGAACACATAGGCTACTCACTTTCATTTTTTTTAATTCAACGCCGACGGAGTCGCGGGCGAAAGCTAGTACTATTATAATAAAGCGTAAACACACACTTCTTTGTTGCCTAAGATGTCAATTACAACATATTTTTGAATATTTTTTTTTTATTAAAAAGTCCTACACTTACGTCACGCTTTAGGCTATATATTTTCACGTCATTAAACTTAGGGGGTCAATATTTTGGATAAAAAACTTAATGTGGGAAAGAGACCATAAAGTGCTGCCAAAATCAAGGAAGCAAAATTGCTAAGTTTGTCATGTAATGTCATTTTGACATTTGCTATTGATAATTTGACAAATGTAAACAATAAAAAAAAAATTTTACAATTTCATGCGGATGAAGCCGCACGGGAACAACTAGTTTACTAATATTTCCTTTAACCATTCCAACTAAGCTCTCTACTAGCTAAGATATAATAGTCGAATGACGCTTGAGAATAAATCTTATTTCTCTTGACAAAAAAATGTCATCATCAACTTGCCCTTATCCCTTACGGAGGGTCGGCACAGTATGTGCTGCTCTTCCATACATCTCTATCAGCCGTCATACCTGAATACACTCCTTTCTTAAGCATATCCTCTTTCACACAATACATACTTTCTTCGGTCTTTCTCATCCTTTGTCATCCAATTTCATTCTTAACACTTTCTGGTTTATGTCCCCATCGTTTTGTCGCATAACATGTCCACACACTAACCTTTTGCTTGTCAATTGGACAAAAAAATGTCGAAAAATATAAACATTTTTTACTGGTAACTTCTTTGAAAGGTAGTTTATTGGATTTAGATGGAGCTTATAATTTAGTAATTTTTTTTTATAACATAAGGTGGCAAACGAGCAAGCGGCCACCTGAATCCGACAAAATGGCGAAGCGACTGCCCATAGACATCCGCAATTGCAACGTTGCCTACCCTTATACGACAGAGGAGACGCACATGAAGAGGATATCTCCCCTTCCTATGTATCTCCTCCGTTAAATCCACTTTCCCTTCCCATCCTCTCCTTATAAGAAAAGGTAAAGATAAAGGGACTTAAATGAGACCTCCGGCACCACACTCATCAGACTGTACACGGAATTGATTTCACTTCACGCCTGTCTGTGTGGTCGTGGTATTGGGGGCGAGCCCTGCAGTGCTAACATGTTAAAGCGGGCACTACCACTGGTTGAAAAATGTTTTCCATGTCAATACAACACGAGACACTAAATTTGAACAACTACCTTTCAGAGAAAGTACCTGTGAAAAATATATCCACCATCTAATTATTTAAATGTCTTTAATTTACACAAAAAAATTAACAAAAAAATGCATTCTATTACTATAAAAAAATCTAAAAAAAATTTTTTTTCAACACAATATGATTTAATACGGAAAGTTAATCATAAAAAAACTATTACTATAAAAAAGTCTTTTAAAATTTTTTTTTTCAACACAATATGATTTAATACGGAAATTTAATCGTAAAAAAAAAACTATTACTATAAAAAAATCTTATAAGAATTTTTTTTTTCAACACAACATGATTTAATACGGAAATTTAATCTTAAAAAAAAAACTATTACTATGAAAAATCTTAAAAAAAAATTTTTTTCAACACAATATGATTTTTTACCGAAATTTCATTATTATTTTTTTAAAATCAACCAAACATAAATGATACAAAAAAATCAATAAAAAAACATATATTTACCTGTAAAACTCTAAACCCATATCTCGTTGCTAAAGAGCTATACGCGACGAACTCCGACAGACGAGGACAGTTGCACAAACGTAGTCGAGTCAGAGAATTCAATTTACTCAAAGGTAAAAAAGACGACGGATCCAACCAATCACATTCACTCAAATCCAACGTCTGAAATACATTTTTTTATATATATGTGAAAAAAATTAGACGTAAGCACTATCTATACTAATATAATAAAGCGTAAACACGTTTAGTTCTGTAACATGTCAGCAATTACAGCATCTTACTATAGTGTCTAAATAAGATAGATTAGTTTGATAAATGACGTATGAAGTATCGAATTCAATTTGTATGAAGGAAACCGTACTTAGACAGGTATCGTAGTGACGAAACACGCAGCGGACAATTAGCAACTATCGATATTCGGTTTAAATTATCAAACTCAACTAAAATTATTATTTTCTTAACTAATTTAGAGGACAATTCTAGTATTGATTATAGTGTAGAGAATTTAGCGATGACAGAAATAATAGCAAAATCCAATTCTATTATGTACGGCTGTAGTAATAAACATTTATTTACTCTCTTTGTTTATAATGGTTCTGTAGGTCATTATTAATTTTAGAAAACAGTGTTTTTTTAATTCATAAGTTGTAATTATGAATCTATCGATTCCAACTTCTATATGAATAAAAATCGAAAACGATAAGATTCATGACTTAATTCACACAACCCATCCCTAATTGTCAAATGAATTGTCAAACTAATCTATGTTATTTAGACACATTATCTTACTAATATTATAAATGCGAAAGTTTAGATGGATGTTTGTTAAAGTGTAGCCTAAACTGCTGAACCGATTTCGATGAAATTTGGTATAGATGTAGAGGAAAGTCTGGAAGAACACATAGACTATTTTTTTTTAATTCCACGCGGACGGAATCGCGGGCAAAAGCTAGTAATATAATAAAGCGAAACATTTAGTTATTTAGTATATCAGCAATTACAGCATATCTTAGTAATATTATAAATGCGAAGAATGGATGGATGGATGTTGGAGTTTGTATACTAAACTGCTGGAATCTGATGATTGTCATACATGTAGAGGATAGTCTGAACATATAGGACTTTTGTTTTTTTAATTCCACGCGAAAGTCGAGGGCGAAAGCTAGTTTATACTATTATAATAAAGCGTAAACACACACTTCTTTGTTGCCTAAGATGTCAGCAATCACAGCATATTTTAGGATAATTCTTTTTTTAATTAAAAGCCCTACACTTACTTCACGCTTTAGGCTATATATTATTACGCTATTAAACTTAGGGGGTAAATAAGTTAAAAAAATCATGCGAGAAAGGGAAAAAACTACAAGAATCAAAGAAGCAAGATTGCTAACGGTAATTGTTATCCAATGTCAAAGGCATTTGAATTTTGACATTCGCAATTGAAGTTTTTTTTAAAAAACAAAACTAGCCTATTCTCCACACTATCCTCTACATATACAATCAACAGCAGAAACAAAACAGACATACCAACTTTTTTATAACATTCTCTACTCACCTCTAAATTGGGCAAAGCGTCTTGTAATTTAAATAAAAACGATCTGTCCACTAAGAAATTAAAACATTTCAAGCCTTTTAAAGAAAGTGTCTTCAAAGTTGAGGATAATTGACTTAAATGTATCTGAAAATAGTTGAAATAATTAAAAAGTGGTAGACATTTGGGGGGTCCATAATTACGTGAGCTGTAAAAGGGGGAGGGGGTCGAGTCAAATCTCATGTAATCACAATATTACAGTGGTAGAGTCCGCTTTAACATCTTCGCACTGCAGGGCTCTATATTACCACGACATAGACAGGCGTGAAGTGGAAGCAATTCCTACAGTCTGATGAGTGTGGTGCCGGAGTCCTAATTTCAGTCCCTTTCCCTTTCCACCCTTATCTTAAGAGGATAGGATGGGAAGGACGGTGAAGAAAACGCATTTCTAACATTTGAATCATCTCATAAAATCATGGTTTTTTCACTATTTTTTTAATTTCAAATCCAAATTGTAAATATTTAGTGTCATTATTATACTCTATAACACTCTGGAGAAGAAGACGAATCTAACGACACATTATTTATCTAAATATATCCAATACTTTAAGATATAGGCTGTTACAAAAAAAAAAACACAAAAAAACCAACAAACACTAAAAAATTAACAAGAAATCGCACTTACTGTCTTGCAATTCAGATTACAGTATTCCAACACCAGCGTTGTTAGGTTAGGACACTTTTCTATCAGTTTTAGGAACATAGGCGCTGTGAATGTGAACCTAGGTCCGGTACAGGTCCCCGTCTCCTGATTCTCATCAGATGGTATGAAATCCTTAGCCACCAACTCCCAGGCCTCCTTCTTAGGCTCATCAGGCCATGCTGGAGTACTTACCACCCTGGTAGAAATGTATAGTTAAAAAAAAACAATTTAAAAGCAGATTTAAATGCAAATTTAAAAGCATGCATCATCATTAGAAAAATCATAATAAAACAAATTAACACTAACATATCTTTTGCAAAAATATCGCATATTAATAAACGTAGTAACCGGAGAGCAAGTTTACTTGTTCTGCCCAAAGTACCAACTATGGCGTAAAAAATATCAATTTCGAAGGAGCACAACTTTTTAACAGATTGCCATCCTCCATTAAAAATGCGGATTCACTTAATATGTTTAAAGTAATGTTAACAAAACATATATTAGAAAATTGTACAAAATTTATATAAAAAGAACATAGGCGACAATCAACATATTGTAAATGTAAATTCTCATGTAAGTGACTGTATATGTCTTTTTGGGAATAAAACTCTTTAAACATTAAACATCAAAAGTCTTTTTTATAGTTAGAACTAGTGTTGTAACGGAGGACTTTTAACGGATGCAAATACGAAGGATTTAACCTCTGCTGAAGCGGTACTTAACGGAAGCGAAAGAGGTCAATAATAAAATATTAATTGCGATTTATTAAAGAAATAAAAAGGAAAATTACGATTGATGATTTAAAATACAGATTTGCACAAAATTACAAGATACAGTTTATTATGCAAATACTCGTATAATGTATAACAATTATAGTTACTTGACATCACGCCCCCGCAAAAACGATATCTAATCGCCCCACTCACTTTAAAGACGTAAATTAACCTCTGTTATAACTCCGCATAAGAAATAACGGAAGCGGATGCGGAGTTATCATTTCTCGCGGAAGTTCCGCACTTGCGGATTCGGAAGCTGAGTTCCGTTACAACCCTAGTTAGAACCAGAACACTTAACTCTTAAATGCATGATGATGCATACATCAATCTTTACGCAATAGACTATTTTGAAAAAAAAAAACATTTTTTTCTTTTTTTTTCTTAATCTATGTTCAATTTATGGTACATATTTAAAACGAAAAAAATAATGCATTACCGGGTTAAAGAAGCTAAAAATCACATAAACTTGTATTACCTTAATTTTAATTTTTTTATTGTCAAAAAAATATAAAAAAAAGCAACAATACTAGAACGCTTGTAATGAAATAAACTTAAATAAAGTCGCGGGCGAGCACTAGTTTAATGAAAACAATATCCTTACCTTGGTAATTGTCTCGCTTGGATATGAAATAATGCGTGTTGTCTTCTAAAAGGATTTCTTGCACCTAAAAATATTTAAACACATTAAAATGCGAAAGTTTAGATGGATGTTTGTTAGAGTTTGTAGCCTAAACTGCTGAACGGATTTCAATGAAATTTGGTATAGATGTAGAGGATAGTCTGGAAGAACACATAGGGTACTTACTTTTGATTTTTTTCAATTTCACGCGGATGAAGTCGCAGGCGAAAGCTAGTCATACTAATATTATAAATGCGAAAGTTTGGATGGATGGATGGATGGATGGATGGATGGCTGAATGGATGGATGGATGGATGGATGTTTGTTAGGGTTTGTAGTCTAAACGGCTGAACGGTATGGATGAAATATGGCACAGACATAGGGGATAGTCTGGAAGAACACATAGGATACTCTCTTTACACACAAAGCGAACGGAGTGGGGGCGAAAGCTAGTACAGTTACAAGAAATATACGAATATATAAGAAAAGGATGGAAAGGGAACGTGGATTTGACGGTAGAGCAAACGCATAGAAGAGGAAATATCTTCTTTATGTGCGTCTCCTCCGTCGATTAAGGGTAGACAACGCATCTGCAGATGTCTATGGGCAGTCGTTTCGCTATTTTGGCGGATTCAGTCAACGCAAGTTTGCCACCTTATAACATATAAGCTCCCGCCCGCGACTCCGTCTGCGTGGAATTCAAAAAACAAAAATAGGTGGCCTATGTGTTCTTCCAGACTATCCTCTACATCTATACCAAATTTCATCGAAATCCGTTCAGCCGTTTAGGCTACAAACGCTAACAAACATCCATCCATCTAAACTTTCGCATTTATAATATTAGTATGATAAAAAAAGTTAGAATGGTTAAAGGAAATATTAGTAAATTAACGAATAATTTAACATTTAAAAAAAAAAAATAAAAAAAGCCATACAGACGAATTGAGTACCTCCTTCTTTTGGGAAGTCGGTCAAAAATACTGGTATAACGCTAAGAAACTAGATTCCAACTTACAAAACTGCATTTCATGTACTCTGGGAACAGCCGGTTCCACTTGTATCCCTTGCTTAGGTTCAACTTGGCCCTCCTTAGGAATATGATGTCCCCAGCAACTTGAATAATAAAAATTATAATATAGTAAAGAACAGCTAATATAATCACACAATTATATAAAAAAGAAACACAAAACCGATAAATCAGACAACAAATGCAAAACAATACTATAAGAAACTATTTACTAATATTAAAAGTAAAAATATCTTTCTCTATACTAATATAATAAAGCGTAAACACACACTTTGTTGCCTAAGATGTCAGCAATTACTCCATATTTTTAAATAATTCTTTTTTTAATAAAAAGACATACACTTACGTCACGCTTTAGGCTACATATTTTCACACAAATAAACTTAAGGGGTTACTTAATTTTGGATAAAAATACTAATGTGGGAAAGAGACCATAAGTTATTGCCATCAAGGA